CCCACCTTGCGGTGGACGGGGAAGGTTGGCGATGCGTCTGCGTTTCGTGTCTGGGGATCTCGGGCGTTTGTCCGCGACTTGTCTGCGGACAAGTTGTCCCCCCGTGCTGTTCCCTGCATCTTCCTTGGCTTCCCCCCGGACGCGCCTGGTTGGCAGTTTTACCACCCCACCTCGCTCCGTGTTCTGTCCTCCCAGGACGTCACCTTTGACGAGTCGGTTCCTTACTATCCGTCTCTTCCCCTACCGCAATGCGCCCCTCCCCCCGCCGCCGCTCTTCCACGCGCCAGGTCCCCTCCCGGTAGACCCTCTCCCCCATCAGGGTCTTGCCCTTCGTCAGGTGTGTCCCAGGTAGACGCAGTCGAGCCTGTCGAGGTAGCTGTTGACTCACGTGCTGCTGGGGGTGCTGAGTCTGGGGGTGCTGAGTCTTGGGGTGCTGAGCTTGGAGGTGCTGAGGCTGGGGGTGCGGAGCCTGGGGGTGCGGAGCCTAGGGGTGCTGGGTCTACTCGTGTGGCCTCTGGCGGTACTGGGTCTAGGGGTCCTTTGGGTGCTTCGTCCCGGCGGGAGCTACCCTCTCCACAGGAGTTGCGTGAGTCGTTTGCCCGGCGCTGGAGCTGTGCTGCTGGAGCTGGAGGTGCTACTGCTGAGGGTGCTGGCGCCACGGGTCCCGGAGGTGCTCGTACTGGAGGTACTGGAGCTGCTGGGCCTGGGGGTGCTCCTTGTACTGGAGCTGCTGGTGGTGCTGGAGCTGGCGGTACTTCTGGAGCAAGTGCTGCTGGAGGTGCTGGAGCTGGGGCTGTTGAGTCTTCCGGTGGTCCGCCTGGAGCTGGAGCTCCTGAGGGTGTTGGCGCTGGAGTTGCTTCTGGCACTGGTGCTTCTGAGGGTACTGGAGTTGGCAGTACAGTAGCTGGGGGTGCTACTAGTGCTGGTGTTGCACGTGGGGGTGCTAGTGCTGTACCTGCTGGTTCTGGAGGCGCTGCGCGGCTGCAGCCGTACTTCGTTCCCCTCCTTGAGCAGGTTCTTCGTCTTCCGCCTTCTGCTGGTCCTGCTCTTTCTTTAGAGTGTCTGCCGCCTGTCTAGTCCGAGTCACAGTTACAGCCCGCCTCCCCACTGCTTGCTCCTTTGCCCTACACTGGTCCTACTGGAGGTCTTGCTGAGCGTCTTGAGCCTGCGTCTCGTCTTGCGTCGCCTGTTCGTGCTGCTCGCACTAGTCGTCGTGTTCCGCGTCCGCGTCCTCCTGTGGTCCCGGGCACCCACCAGATGGCACTGCGTCCTTCCACTGCTCCACTGCGTGTCCCGCTGCCGTCTCCTCCACAGTCCTCTCTTCCTGCTTTTGCTGACCCGACGTGTGACTCTCTTCGTGCTGACAGTCCTACTGTCACGCGTCTTCTAGCTACTGTTGTCACTGACCCCTCCTTTACGTCCACTGCTGTGTCTACCCTAGTTGCTGAGCTTGCCGACTTTGCTGCTCGCTGTCGTCTCGAGTATGCCACTACTCTCGTTGCTGAGTCTGAGTCTGTCTGTCCTCCTTCCTTCAGGGGTGAGTGTGCTCTTGGCACGGACGTCCTTGAGGACAGGCAGGAGGAGTTCCAGTGTTTTGCTGCTGCTTTGCCTCATCTCGTGTCCATGCTGATTGCCCCTGAGGGAGACCTGGATGCACCAGACATCCCGACTCCTCGATCGTACGCTGAGGCGATCGAGGGTCCCTACTCCTCTCAGTGGCAGTCAGCCATGGACGCAGAGATGGCTTCCTGGAAGTCCACAGGCACCTACGTCGACGAGGTTCCCCCACCTGGGGCGAACATCGTCAGTGGCATGTGGATTTTCAGGGCGCGTTACGTGGCTCGAGGCTTCAGTCAGCGGCAGGGAGTTGACTACTTACAGACCTTCTCTCCCACCCCGAAGATGACCACTCTTCGGGTGGTGCTGCACATAGCCGCTCAGCGCGACTACGAGCTTCACTCTCTTGACTTCAGCACAGCTTTCCTGCAGGGCAGCCTGCACGAGGAGATCTGGCTGCGCCGCCCACCTGGCTTCACTCGGTTGTTTCCTCCTGGTACCCAGTGAAGCCTCCGGCGGCCAGTCTACGGTCTACGCCAGGCGCCGAGTGGCACGACACACTGAGGACTACACTTGCGGCTCTTGGGTTTGCTCCTTCTACAGCCGACCCGTCGCTGTTTCTGCGCACCGACACCTCTTTGCCGCCTTTCTACGTCCTCGTGTACGTCGATGACTTGGTCTTTGTCACTGCTGACACTGCTGGACTCGCCTACGTGAAGTCCGAGCTGCAGAAGAGACACACGTGCACAGACCTGGGTGAACTGCGCAGCTACCTTGGCTTGCAGATCACCCGGGACAGAGCATAGCGCACCATTACCCTGACTCAGTCACACATGGTGCAGCAGGTCCTTCAGCGCTTCGACTTCACGTACTCCTCGCCTCAGGCCACTCCTCTGCCTACTCGCCACTCGCTCTCAGCTCTGCCTTCGGATGAGTCCGTAGAGCCGAGTGGCCCGTACCCAGAGCTTGTTGGCTGCCTCATGTACCTGATGACCTGCACTCGACCTGACCTTGCATACCCTCTTAGCATCTTGGCACGCTATGTTGCTCCTGGGAGACACCGACCAGAGCATATGGCTGCAGCGAAGAGGGTGTTGCGCTACTTGTGCAGTACGTCGGGCATGGGGCTAGTGCTTGGAGGGCGACGTTCACTGGTCCTCACAGGTCACGCAGACGCTTCTTGGGCTGACGACCAGGCTACGCATCGGTCGTCTCAGGGTTACACCTTCAGCCTTGGTTCCGGCTCTGTTTCGTGGCGGTCTACCCGCTCGTCTTTTGTTCTCGGCTCCAGCTGTGAGGCTGAGATCTACGCGGGGGCCATGGCTGCACAGGAGCTACGCTGGCTCACCTACCTGCTGACTGACCTAGGAGAGCCGCCTCTTTCTCCTCCAGTTCTGTACGTAGACAACAAGGCCATGCTGGCCTTGTGTCGGGAGCACAGAATGGAGCACAGAACGAAGCACATTGCTCTTCGCTACTTCCTTGCTCGTGAGCTGCAGCAGCGTGGTCAGCTGCGCCTTGCTTACGTGGCCTCTGAGGCCAACACTGCTGATATCTTTACCAAGGCACTTCCGCCTTGTGATCATCAGCGCAGCTGTATGATGCTAGGTCTCGTGCCTACTTGGCCTCACTTGCTCACTTCTTGACCTTGCTTGTACTGTGATCTATCTATACCTGCACTTGCTTGTTTGCCTTTATATATATGATCTTGTATGTGAACTGGCCTTGTGGTCTTGAACTTGTGCTCGGAATGTGTGGTGACGTTGTGATCCACCCTGAGCTTGCTGTGCTTTGGTTGACTGGTCTTATGACCTCTTGTTCTCCCCCACTTTACCTATGGGGGTGTGTCAAATTTATATGCTATAGTCGGTGTAGGCTGTAGTGGGGTAGACAATATGGGGTACAACACTTTTAGGTTTTCCTACTTGTACCCACCTGTTTCCTAGTGCATTCATTCCTCGTGATTTCAACACTTCGCAAGTGCTTGTAGACAGTTATGCACGACGTGCACTGTCGATCACATTGCGCAGGCTGTCAGCCACATGCTGACGGTTGCACCTGATGAGCCACGTCGGTCGACTCCGCCACAACAACCTCGACGACGTTCGCGACCCTCCGCAGAACCTCGTCGAGCAGGTAACCTGGTCAACTAGGTAAAGTCATTGACAACCCTGCAGCAAGATGATGACCTTCGTCATCACCGGTTGACGGCCTTGTCAGAGGTCCACTGGTGATCCCCGGTTGATCCTAAGGAAGGGTTACAGGCACGTTGGCGTGGTGGGTTATGGGCGCACTCACCGCTACACAAACAAGCCCTTTTATCCCAATGGTCTTAGTGGTTTGGATTCTGACATTGTTTCAGAGCGAAGGTCTCGGGTTCGAATCCAAGTGTGTGCACTTCGGGCATCCCAGTGCGGAGGAGTGTCAGAGGTCTATTGGTGATCCCCGGTTGATCCTAGGGAAGGGTTACAGGCACGTTGGCGTTGAGGGTTATGGGCGCACTCACTCGCTACACAAACAAGCCCTTTTATCCCGATGGTCCAAGTGGTTGGGATTCTGGCAGACCTTCGTCGTCGCGGGTCGACAACCTTCGTCGAACACCTTTGTCGAACACCTCGGTCGATATTTCAAAATGTCAGCTCTTGATTGGTCGAAATGAAGGCACATTCGAATTTCTGGCCAAAATTCGCCAGTGCAATCTCAAGGGTGCGCAGGGTCAGACGCGACCCTACGCAGACGAACATCCGCGAACCTCTGTACGAGTTGCGCCACTAGTACATCTGCACGAGACATATGTGTTGCACTTAGGGAAGCTTCAGTTACTCTTGCATGGATTCCCTAGTACACCTCGTGTACATGCAACCCTTGCACACCTGCAGAAGGTCGGCTGCACCTCCCGCACACCCGACCACGATGTCAGTTTTGCCCATGCGAGGGCGAGGCCAAATTCCTTCAACAGTTAGTAAGTAATGTCTCTTTCGTGAGCGCGCTCCGTTAGCGCTTTGCCTTTCAAGGTGACGAAAACTGTTTTCTTGGCTCAGAATGGAGCCACTTGGTCGAAATTGTACGCGAAAAATGAGATTCACCAAAGTTGAAAGAATCTTGATCATTATCAACATATATTGTTTTAACAGATCTGCAATGATCTCAAGTCATAGAATTATCAGTACAATTGGAACTATCGAGTTTTGCAGTAACGCGGAACTGTACTGCAAATTTTCTTCAGGATTCGCATTCCGCATTATAAAAGCTCAGCCGCCACTTGGCTATCGACGCACTTCGTTCATTCTCCGCATATCCGCGTCTCCGCGTTCCGCAAATTCGCGTTTTCGCATATTCGCACTTCCGCAGCCGTTCCGCGCGTGTTAGTTCATTCGGCGTCGAAGTCCCCTTGTGGTCGCGATTTCCCCGCGCTCTCGCCCCGCCGCGCGTCTCCCCGCGGCATGGGGAAAGGCGGGGGGGGCGCAGGGGGAGCCGGGATGGGCGGCGGCGGGGGAAGCGGCGGGAGAGGCGGCGGGGGAGGTGGAGCGGCGGGAAGCGCGGTGCGCGTGTGCGTGTTCGACTCGCGGAGGGGGAAGCGGGAGGGGGAAGAGGCGGAGAAGCTTCTGTTCTTCTTTCCGCCCGCCACTCCGCCGTCCGAGCAAGTGGCTCTACTTGGCCTCTGGGAGGGGCTACTCGCCTTCACCAGGTATCGTCACATTCGCTGTAGTCACACCCCGGTAGACTTACACACGTTTTAGTCACACTCGTATAGACATATTCTTTCCGCCCGCCACCCCGCCGTCGGAGCAAGTGGCGCTGCTGGGCCTCTGGGAGGGCCTCCTCGCCTTCACCAGGTGACTCATATAAAATGTGACTCGCTATAGTCACACTCGCTAGAGTTACACACGTTGCAGTCACACCAGTATAGTCATATCCTATGTTACAGGCGACTCCGCCGTCGGAGAAATTGGCGCTGCTGGGCCTCTGGGAGGGCCTCCTCGCATTCACCAGGTGCCTCGCGGTAGCCATACTCGCTATTGTCACAATCTCTAAAGGCAGACTGGACAGTCACACTCGCAGTATTCACACTGGCAATAAACACACTCGCTGCCCTCCTTACCTCCCGCTCCCCCCCCATCAAATGAACCACCCTCTCAGTGTCCCCTGCTCGCCCACCAGTCCCACGTTAAAGCCCCGATGTGCTGCCCTCCCTCTCCCCCCCGCTCCCCACTCTGCTGCCTATCCACGTATTGCCTTCCGCCCCCGTCAGGATCTTCTCCCCCCATCGCCCCTGTGAGGTGATGCGAGCGCATTTCAACCGCCACGTGCTGCCCTCCCTTCCTCTCCCCCTACTGTGCCGCCTCCCCCCCTCCCCCTTGCAGGATCTTCTCCCCCCATCGCCCCTGTGAAGTGATGCGAGCGCATTTCAACCGCCACGTGCTGCTGGAGTGTGAGCCGGGCATCTTCATGGTGCTGGTGAGTGCGGTGATGGTGTCATGTGGATTGGATGGGTGCTTGAGGCACTATGAAGTGTGCATGATGTGAGTGGGGCTGGCAGTGGTAGTCAGCACACCTTCTCTCACCGCCACGTGCTGCTGGAGTGTGATCCGGGCATCTTCATGGTGATGGTGAGTGCGGTGGTGAGTGGTGCTGGTGGGTGCATGGCGCGTGCACATGCCCACAGTCATTACAGACCTCGTAGTCTCGCTCTTCCTTCCACCGCCACGTGCTGCTGGAGTGTGAGCCGGGCATCTTCCATACTCCCCCCCCACCCTTACCTTTCATCTTCCCCTACACTCCGCACCCCACACCCCCGCCCACCTGCCCTAACCTTTCAGCTTCCCATATGCCGAACCTAATCTCAGGTGGTGGAGTGTCGGGGGGTGAACGGCATCGTGCCGCCCGACGCTACAGTGCGCGACGAAGCTCTTCGGCAGTATCTGGTGGAGGCGCATGGGCTTTTTTGTCTCTTCTTCGGCAGCATCAACCGCCTGTTGCAGCAGCAGCAACCCCACCCTCCTCCTCCTCTCCCCTCAGAAGCAACAACTGGGCCCTCATCAAATACTTCATCAGATCTTGAGTCCAGCACTCCTTCACACGATTCCCCGTCGGCCGTTCCCCTTTCAGCCGACTTAGCCCGTGCCTGCCTGCAAGCCTTCCTCCCGGACTTTCTCACAGGTGTGTGTCTCCTCTGCCTCCTGCCTCCTGCCTCCTGCCTCATGCCTGGGTATAGTGCATGTTGTTTTCTCCTCTCTCCTTTCTCTCATCTCTCTCACACTTTGACTTAGCCCGTGCCTGCCTGCAAGCATTCCTCCTGACCTCCTCACAGGTGCGTATCTCTTGCCTCTTGTAGAGGCTCTTCCGAACTTGGCTCTTGTAGAGGCTCCTCCAAACTTGCCTCTTTTAGAGGCTCCTCCAAACTTGCCTCTTTTAGAGGCTCCTCCAAACTTGCCTCTTTTAGAGGCTCCTCCAAACTTGCCTCTTTTAGAGGCTCCTCCAAACTTGCCTCTTTTAGAGGCTCCTCCAAACTTGCCTCTTGTAGAGGCTCCTCCAAACTTTGTCTCTTCTGACTTGTGTGGATCGTACTCGTTTCCCCCTCCACCCCCCCTCCCCACCTTCTGCTTTCACTGCTCTCTCTCACACTTCTCACCTCCTCTCTCACCTTCCCCTCCTCTGCCCCTCCTCTTGTCGTTTGTTTTGTCGACTCAACCGATGCTTTCCACTTCCTGCCCGCACTCCTCCTTTAACCCCCCCCCCCCCCCCCCCCCTCATCCCTCCAGGCGGGTACCTGAACCCTCCGCTCTCGCATTCCTCTTCCCCCTCACTGCTCGCACACCTCACTGCTCCCCTTTTCCCTCCTCACTGCGCTCCCCCCCACCCCTCATCCCTCCAGGTGGCTCCCCAGAACCATCCGCCCTCGCATTCCCCTTCGCCCTATCCGCTCCCACCACTCCTCGAGTGCGCCTGCCTGCTCTTCTCGACTCTCTCTCTAACCGCCTCTCCTGCCGCCAGCTCAACCTCTCCCGCTCCCTCACGCTCCCTGCTCTGGTGAGTCACTCTCTCCTCGCTTGGATGACTCGCTGTGGCATGCATACCCCACGCCTCCTCGAGTGCGACTTTTGAGGCGCCTCAAAAGGCATACGTGGGGTATGCATGCCGCTCGCTGTGGCACAGGCGAGCAACAGGTTGAGGCGAGCAGGAATGCGCACTCGAGGAGGCGTGTGGCATGCATACCCCACGCCTCCTCGAGTGCGCATGCCTGCTCTCCTCGATTCCCTCTCCAACCGCCTCTCCAACCGCCTCTCCTACCGCCTCTCCTACCGCCTCTCCTGTCGTCAATTGAACCTCCCCCGCTCCCTCACACTCCCCTCACCGGTGAGTCACTCCCTTGTCCCTGCACGCATACCCCTTAACCTATTTCTCGCCGCTGCTCTCCTCAACTACCTCTCCACCACTATCTCTCTCTCTGCTCTTGTTCTGAAACTCTTCCCCCTCCCCTCCCCATCATCAGTCTCTCGCCCATCGCTTGGCATACGCCTTTCAAGGAGGGGCGCTGCTGCCGTTTTCTTTCAACTTTACTCTCTCTTAAACGCCTCCCTCCCATCTCGCCTTTCAAGGAGGGGCGCTGCTGCCGTTTTGTTTCAACTTTACTCTCTCTTAAACGCCTCCCTCCCATCTCGCCTTTCAAGGAGGGGCGCTGCTGCCGTTTTGTTTCAACTTTACTCTCTCTTAAACGCCTCCCTCCCATCTCGCCTTTCAAGGAGGGGCGCTGCTGCCGTTTTGTTTCAACTTTACTCTCTCTTAAACGCCTCCCTCCCATCTCGCCTTTCAAGGAGGGGCGCTGCTGCCGTTTTGTTTCAACTTTACTCTCTCTTAAACGCCTCCCTCCCATCTCGCCTTTCAAGGAGGGGCGCTGCTGCCGTTTTGTTTCAACTTTACTCTCTCTTAAACGCCTCCCTCCCATCTCGCCTTTCAAGGAGGGGCGCTGCTGCCGTTTTGTTTCAACTTTACTCTCTCTTAAACGCCTCCTCCCATCTCGCCTTTCAAGGAGGGGCGCTGCTGCCGTTTTGTTTCAACTTTACTCTCTCTTAAACGCCTCCCTCCCATCTCGCCTTTCAAGGAGGGGCGCTGCTGCCGTTTTGTTTCAACTTTACTCTCTCTTAAACGCCTCCCTCCCATCTCTCCTTTCAAGGAGGGGCGCTGCTGCCGTTTTGTTTCAACTTTACTCTCTCTTAAACGCCTCCCTCCCATCTCGCCTTTCAAGGAGGGGCGCTGCTGCCGTTTTGTTTCAACTTTACTCTCTCTTAAACGCCTCCCTCCCATCTCGCCTTTCAAGGAGGGGCGCTGCTGCCGTTTTGTTTCAACTTTACTCTCTCTTAAACGCCTCCCTCCCATCTCGCCTTTCAAGGAGGGGCGCTGCTGCCGTTTTGTTTCAACTTTACTCTCTCTTAAACGCCTCCCTCCCATCTCGCCTTTCAAGGAGGGGCGCTGCTGCCGTTTTGTTTCAACTTTACTCTCTCTTAAACGCCTCCCTCCCATCTCTCCTTTCAAGGAGGGGCGCTGCTGCCGTTTTGTTTCAACTTTACTCTCTCTTAAACGCCTCCCTCCCATCTCGCCTTTCAAGGAGGGGCGCTGCTGCCGTTTTGTTTCAACTTTACACTCTCTTAAACGCCTCCCTCCCATCTCGCCTTTCAAGGAGGGGCGCTGCTGCCGTTTTGTTTCAACTTTACTCTCTCTTAAACGCCTCCCTCCCATCTCGCCTTTCAAGGAGGGGCGCTGCTGCCGTTTTGTTTCAACTTTACTCTCTCTTAAACGCCTCCCTCCCATCTCGCCTTTCAAGGAGGGGCGCTGCTGCCGTTTTGTTTCAACTTTACTCTCTCGTAAACGCCTCCCTCCCATGTCGCCTTTCAAGGAGGGGCGCTGCTGCCGTTTTGTTTCAACTTTACTCTCTCTTAAACGCCTCCCTCCCATCTCGCCTTTCAAGGAGGGGCGCTGCTGCCGTTTTGTTTCAACTTTACTCTCTCTTAAACGCCTCCCTCCCATCTCTCCTTTCAAGGAGGGGCGCTGCTGCCGTTTTGTTTCAACTTTACTCTCTCTTAAACGCCTCCCTCCCATCTCTCCTTTCAAGGAGGGGCGCTGCTGCCGTTTTGTTTCAACTTTACTCTCTCTTAAACGCCTCCCTCCCATCTCGCCTTTCAAGGAGGGGCGCTGCTGCCGTTTTGTTTCAACTTTACTCTCTCTTAAACGCCTCCCTCCCATCTCTCCTTTCAAGGAGGGGCGCTGCTGCCGTTTTGTTTCAACTTTACTCTCTCTTAAACGCCTCCCTCCCATCTCGCCTTTCAAGGAGGGGCGCTGCTGCTCTGCCACAACCTCTTTTCTCAATCACCCTCAGCTCTGCTTTTCCCTTCTCCCTCCCATCCCTCCTCCTCCCACCAGTCGCTCGCCCATCGCCTGGCGGACGCCTTTCAAGGAGGGGCGCTGCTGCTCTGCCACAACCTGCTGCTCGCCTCCACCCTCTCCCCGGTAACCCTCCAAACCCCAAACCCCAAGCTCCAAAACCCAAGCTCCAAACCTTAAGTCCCAAACCCCACGCTCCAAAACTCAAAACCCAAGCCCCAAGTGTTGCTCTGCTGCTCGCTCATCTCCTAGCAAACGCCTTTCGAGGCGCCTCAAAAGTTTTTTCGAGGCGCCTCAAAACTTTTTTTCGAGGCGCCTCAAAACTTTTTTTCGAGGCGCCTCAAAGGTATGCTCGCGCCTCAAAACGCCGTTTCAAGGCTCGTCGTTGCTGCTCTGCCACAACCTGTTGCTCGCCTCCACCCTCTCCCTGGTAACCACTCACTCATGCCCTCTCCGTGGTAATTATCTGAGTCAAACCCAGAGCCTTGTTCTGCTGCTCTGCCACAACCTGTTGCTCGCCTCCACCCTCTCCCTGGTAACCACACTCAAACCTTCCTCCCGGTACCCATTCTGGCCGTTTGTTCTAGTCTACAACCCAAGCCCCAAGCCCCAAGCCCCAAGCCCCAAGCCATGCTTTTGAGTCGACTCAAAAGAAGCCCCAAGCCATGCTCTGCTACTCTGCCACATCTTGCTGCTTGCCTCGGTAACCACTCACGCCTTCTGCTAGCTTCTCACTTCCCGCTTCTCCTCACCTCACCTCTCCCCCTCTAACCCCTCTTCATCCCCTCGCTCCCTTCTCACCCCTCACAACTCCCACACCTTTTTCTAGTCTCTCACCCATCTCCCCCTCTCCGTCTCAGGCTGACACTGCAACATTACACTCCTACACATGCCTCCTCTTCTCCCCACCCCGCTCTTCCTCGAGATTGCCCTCAAAGAAAAATACTCTCTTTCCCTCTTTTCTTCCCACCCATTTCCCCCCTCACCCCTCTCCGCCACCCACCCTCAGGCTGACACTGCAGCACTACACTCCTACGCATGCCTGCGCCTTTTTCGTCCACTTCAAAGTCCTCTTTCCGCCTCCCCTACCCCCTCCCCCCTCCCTCCCTCCCTCCCTCTCCCCTTTTCCTCCTTTCCACCCCGCCTTCCCTCAGGCTGACACTGCAGCATTACACTCTTACGCATGCCTGCGTCTCCTCCCCTCCTCCCTCTCCCCTTCCTCCTCCTCCTCTTCCATCCTTCGCTCCCTCTCCCCCTTCCGCTCCCCCTTCACCTCCTCCTCCTCCGCCTCCTCCTCCCCTTCCTCTCACCGCCCCTCCTCCCCCTCGCCCCGTCGCACCTCTTCCTCTTTCCTCAGCCCCTCAATCACTCCCTCACTCACTCCCTCACTCGCTCCCACCCTACCTCGCTCCTCTTCCACACCCTCACTCGCCCACCTCTCCCCTTTCGGCCACACTCCCCCTCTCTCCCCCTCTGCTTGCCCCAACCCCAACCAGCCATTCCCCCTTTCTTCCTCCGCGTCCAACCCCCCCACCCTCTCCTCCCCTTTCCCCCTCCCCTACTCCTCCCCACCCCTCCCGCTTCGCCCGTCATCCTGGGCCAAATCCACGTCAGGCCACTCCCTTTCCACGTCAGCATGGGGAGTGGATCCCCAAAGCAACACCCCTCTCCCCCCTCTTGTCTACCTAAGGTCTTTGGGAGTAGAGGTGGGGGGAGGGGTTGGGGAAGGAGGAGAGGTTGAGGAACGTGGGGAGAAAAGGGAGTGGGGGACAAGAGAACGCAGGGATGGGGAGGGGAAGGGGGCGGGTGGAAAGCAGGAGAAGGGCGATGGAAAGGGGGAAGGGGAAGGGGGAGGGGTAGGCGGAGGGGGAGGGGGAGCTGAAGGGGCACCAGGAGTGGTGGGAGTGCTGCGGGTATTTTTTGTGAAGGACCTGACAGCACTGGTGGTGGAGCCATTACCAGCAGCAGCGGGAGGAGCAGCAAGGGAGGGAGAGACGAGGAAAGATGAAGTTGGTCCGGCAAATCTGCACCCCGAGGTGAGTTGAGTGGATTGCCTTGTCTGCAAGTGCTGGGAGTGGTGAGAGTGCTGCAAGTGCTGGGAGTGTTTTCTGTCAAGGATCTGACAGCCCTGGTGGTGGAACCACAAGCAGCAGCAGCAGGAGGAGGGCATGGTGCAAGGGAGGGAGAGAGGAGGAATGCTGATGCTGGTCAGGCGAATTTGCGTCCCAAGGTGAGTTGTTGCTTGTCTGACCCGTTACAAACTGACTCAGTATGCACAGACAAGAAGGACGTGTCTTGGGCAAGAGAATGTAACTGGCATGCTTCGATGAGAACAAGAAAAAGCAGAGAGAAAGAAGGAAAGAAAGAAATAAAAGAAACTCAAAGAAAAAAAAAAAGCAAAACAAAAACAAAAAAACAGAGAAACAAACAAACAAGAGTTCCTTGTCTGTTAGTTTCCTATTTTGTTTGGTTTTCTGAGTTAACCTGTCAAAAACATTACAGCAAGAATGTTATAGATTTTCAAATGTTGGCGCTTTCTCCCACCTAGCACATGTGTCTCTTCGTCACACCCTTAACAAAATCCTTCTTTCTTCCCTTCCTCCTCTCCTCATCTCCCACCCCCCTCGTCCCCCCCTTCCTCTCTCGCCATCCCCATCAGCTGCTGGAGATGGAAGCATTGGAGGCGTCGCTTCAGCAGCACCACATCAACCCGCAAGCAGCACACGTCCAGTTACATGGTGCCAGCTGCTACCTCTGCAAGAACCTCCTGCCTCCATGCCTCTCCATGCTTGCTCCCTCCCCTCCCACTCATCATCAGCTGCTGAGGGAGATGGAAGCATTGGAGGCGTCACTTCAGCAGCACCACATCAACCCGCAAGCCGCCCACATTCAGGGCTGCCGCTACCTCTGCACCGACCCTCTGCTCCGCTCCTTTTCTGCCTCCCCGCCCTGCAAAGTCACCACCCTCGCCAAGGTGGGTTCTTAACCCCTGTAAGGTTGGTCCCCCTGTGCTATCATCCCCTCCCATCCCCCTCCTAATTGCTGCTGCGACCCTCCTTCGCTCCTCTGCCGCCTCACTGCCGCGCAAAGTCACCACCCTCGCCAAGGTGGGTTCTTACCCCCTATAGGGTCGGTTCCCCTCTGCTATCATCCCCTCCCCACCCCCCTACGTCTTGCTGCTCTGACCCTTTGTCGCTCCTCTACCACCCTCCCCCCCTGCAAAGTCACCACCCTCGCCAAGGTGAATTCATACTGCATAGAGTCATTCTGCAACGGGAGTGGACTACGTAGGAGGGCACGGGGTTGTGCGGGCGATCGTACTGTTGTAATAGCATTCTCACTATTTTCTGTGTTTATAGAAATTTGGCAAGAGTTTCACTAGCAAAAGAGATGGAGCATTATAATGCGACACCTCTAGAGAATTTACCAGGATCGGGGCCTTACACCAACCCTGCCACATCAATCGGCACACCGTTGTGCTCACACTGCAAATTGCAGTGGGGTAGACACATTGAGCTAGAGATGCCAGGATCGAGATTGCAGGGTCGAGCAGGTTGGAGCCGCGTCGGAATATACCAACACGCTGCAACGCGCAGCCAATCAGTGCAGAGCATGGTTGGTCGCCCAGCAATGTCAGTCGCAGCAACTAGGGCATTTTCGGCATGCGACCGTGGGTGACTCCGATCGATCGTGGCTGTCACATCTGGCGCGATCGGCTCTCTCGCCAACCCAAACGCACGATCGATGTGCACATCGATCGTGCGCGCAAGAGGTGCCACCACTTTGGGATACAAGGCTTTTGGCGATGTCGACATTACATTGTACCCCTGGCACATCGATCCCCACTCGGGATCGATCCTGGCAAATTCCCTAAAGGTGCTACGTCGTTAGATTACAATGAGGCATGCAAGTTGATTAGCAAGGAAGGCATTCGAACACCTAGCAAGAAATTTGTAAAGCGAACTGCCAGTGCAGCAGAAGAGCGGCTTGCCAACGCTTCATCAGGGCGGCCTGCCAGCATTGCATCCAAAGTGGTCTGTCAGCATTGCAGTCGCAGGTGAACATGTGCGCATATGTACGCACCTACCAAGTAAGTGCAGGTCGACGGGTTGCACTGTCAGCCTGTCAGGCACATTGCGTAGGTGCCAGGTAGAACACGTGTTCACGGTTTCGCCAGATGTCCACTGTCGAGCACGTGACGCCATTCCGTGGGTCGACTTCGCAAAAACCTCCTAGGCCAAATTTGCACACCCTCGCAGAGTTTCGTAGTCGAGAAAATTCGGTCGGCCAGTTCGCCGAGACAAGGCTCGCCGAACCGCGCCCGTCGATCAGAAGACGAGGCTCACCGAACAACGCCCGTCGATGAGGGGCGGGCTCGTCGAAAAGCGCCCCGTCAATCAAAGCTCAAGGGCGAGCTCGTCGACGACCATTCTTGTCGACCAACAGGATCCGTCGTCGACAACGCAATCTCCTTTTCGACAATCGCTGTCGTTCAACAGCGAAAGCCCATTCGACGACCAGTTTGTCGAATTCACCATGTCGGCATCGAGGACGCCTGCGCCCAAGCGAGGGCAGGGCCTTTCACTTCGACACATACCCCCTGTAAGGTCGGTCCCCCTCTGCTCTCATCCCCTCCCCATCCCCCTCCTTGTTTCTCCGACTCTCCTTCGCTCCTCCGCCGCCTCCCCGCCCTGCAAAGTCACCACCCTCACCAAAGTTGGTGCCTCTGAGTGTTTCTCATCTCTTCCTCTTCGTTTGCATGCTCCCTTCCACTCCGTTGCTTCTTGTGTGTCGTTTGAGTCAACTCAACAGTCACCTCGGGTGTCTCCCTTGTGTTTCTGAGGCAAGCCAGCCAGAATCCCACCTTCTTTTCCCTTGCCTTCTCCTACACCACTCTCCAAGTGACTCTTAAATCGACTCAGAATTCACCTTTTGCCTCTTTTCCCTTGCTGTGCTGAACCCGATGAGACACGAGCCGATGGCTTGACAGGCAGAGAGGCGACGGCTTGATGGCTTTTAATAGTCGGCTCTCTTGTTCTCTCTTTCTCTCCCTCCCTTGTTCTCTCTCCCTCTCCCTCCATCAAGACTCCCTCGCAGTGCTGAACCTGACGAGACACGAGGTGGACTGGCAGTAGCAGAGGAGAGGGTGTGTTGCGGATCATTGCAAGTGGTGATGCATTGGCGATCCCAACCAATACTTTTCCCTCTCATGCACCCCTTTCCCTCTCCCAGGACTCCCTTGCGGTGCTGAACCAGATGAGGCACGAGGCGGACAGGCAGAGAGGGGATGGTGATGGCTTGTTGATTCAACAGTATGCTTTTCTCTGTCTCTCTCTATCTTGCACCGCTGTCACTCTACTCTCCCTCCCCCAGGACTCCCTTGCGGTGCTGAACCAGATGAGACACGAGGCGGACAGGCAGCAGCAGAGGAGGGAGATGATGAGGGTGCAGGGGGGAAGAAGGAAGAGAAGAGATGCGCTTACTGGGAGGGCGAGAAGAGGAGAGAAAGGTATGGTTGAATCTCTTAAGCGCTTCAAGAATTTCTTTGATGCAACGAGATCGAGAATACCTCAAAAAGAGATGCGTCCACAGGGAGGGCAGGAAGAGGAGAGAAAGGTATGGGTGGGATCTCTTGCAGTGCTGAACCAGATGTGACAGGAGGTGGACAGGCAGCAGCAGAGGAGGGAGATGCTTTTGAGTCGACTCAAAAGTCTCCTCTCATGCAGTGTTGAACTAGATGTGACAGGAGGTGACTTTTGAGTCGACTCAAACGTCTCCTCCCATGCAGTGTTGAACTAGATGTGACAGGAGGTGGACAGGCAGCAGCAGAGGAGGGTTCTGCTTTTGAGTCGACTCAAGAGGAGGGTTTCGCCTTTGAGTCGACTCAAGAGGAGGGTTTCGCCTTTGAGTCGACTCAAGAGGAGGGTTTCGCTTTTGAGTCGACTCAAAAAGAGACAGGTATGGGCAAGGATGAAAAATACGGTTTCCCGGACCGTATTTTACGATCAGATTTCAAAAATTCGACCGTATTTTTGTTAGAGATTTTTTTTCCTGCTAGAAAAAAATTCAGACTTGCTACCAACCACCTCTAGGGATGTGAAATTGCTAACTATCAGGCCTAGAATGGTCTACAACGGATCTATGCATCTATGCCTAAAAAACCGCTCCCCTATGCTCCTCAAGACAATAGGCGTGCGTCCCGCCTTGTGCGGCTAGAATATTACTTGAAAAGCGAGTAAAAACGTTTTGGCGAGGGGAAAAATACTCGCGAGGTGCATTCTTGACCCCTGTGCGACGTGGCAGCGGGGGTTCACAATCGCACAGGCTAACTCGTCACTTCGCGTTTCTACATGACGAAATGTCAGCGAGCTCAAAGACGGAAGATTTGCATCCCAATTTTCCCAGCTCATGCACTCCCCCCAACCGCTCTAAATCCCACTCCCTCTACCTAACCCAACCCAACCTTTCAAACATTTGTACCCTGAGACTGGGTGAGATCTAGATCTCACTCGTACCTATTCTGCAGCGACACATTTCCCCATCGCAATAGCAACTGGAACATTGCGATTTCCTACGAATACGGTCCTAATTAATCCCCCCTTTCCCCACTTTAAAAGAGAGGCTTCGCTCAAGGGGGCCCCCTTGCAATTTCTTTTTCCACTTCATTGTTTCAAAATTTCAACCGTAAATTACGACCGTATTTTTGAACCAACCCTTAAACAGCACGATCTATCGTATTTTACCGTAAAATACGACCATGAAATACGATTCCGTATTTTACGGTAAAATTTCAAAAATACGACCGTAATTTTGAACCTTCGGTGTGGGTGGGCTCTCCCATGCAGTGTTGAACTGGATGTGACAGGAGGTGGACAGGCAGCAGCAGATGAGGGAGATGATGAGGGTGCAGGGAGGAGAAAGGATATTGCCATCTCAACAGCTACCTTTGCTCCTCTTCCCTCTGACTGCTCTCCTGCTCTTCTCATTAACTTATCTCCTGCTCTTCTCATTAACGTATCTCCTGCTCTTCTCATTAAATTATCTCCTGCTCTTCTCATTAACGTATCTCCTGCTCTTCTCATTAAATTATCTCCTGCTCTTCTCATTAACTTATCTCCTGCTCTTCTCATTAACTTATCTCCTGCTCTTCTCATTAACTTATCTCCTGCTCTTCTCATTAACTTATCTCCTGCTCTTCTCATTAACTTATCTCTTGCTCTTCTCATTAACTTATCTCCTGCTCTTCTCATTTACTTATCTCCTGCTCTTCTCATTAACTTATCTCCTGCTCTTCTCATTAACTTATCTCTTGCTCTTCTCATGAACTTCTCTCCTGCTCTTCTCATGAAGTTATCTCCTGCTCTTCTCATTAACTTCTCTCCTGCTCTTCTCATTAACTTTTCTCCTGCTCTTCTCATTAACTTCTCTCCTGCTCTTCTCATTAACTTATCTCCTGCTTTCTCATTAACTTATCTCCTGCTCTTCTCATTAACTTCTCTCCTGCTCTTCTCATTAACTTTCTCCTGCTTTCTCATTAACTTCTCTCCTGCTCTTCTCATTAACTTCTCTCCTGCTCTTCTCATTGACTTCTCTCCTGCTCGTCCTTCTGACTGCTTGCCTGCTCTTCTCTCTGACTGCACCCCTGCTCTTCCCACTGACCACGCTTGTGCCCGGCGGAGGCCGGAAGGAGCAACATCCAGCCAGCACACAACGGGAGAGTGCAGGGGCGGAGATTTCTAGGGAGTTTTGAGAAATCTGAAAGAAAAAAAGCATGTCACTTGCACACTGCTGCTTTCCCCACTGACCACGCTTCTGTGCCCGGCGCAGGCTGGATGGAACAACATCCGGCCGGCTCACGAGGGGGTAACTCAGAGAAGGAGAATTCGAAGGTTTTTTTCTTTTGTGGATTTGCCAAAACTGCTTCCCTTCCCACTGACCACGCTTCTGTGCCCGGCGCAGGCTGGAAGGAGCAACATTCGGCCAGCACACGAGGAATAGATTCGGAGATGGAGAATTCCAAGGGCGAAGAGGGGGATCGCAGAGGGAGAGAGGCGGAGGGAGCGGCAGATGTGGGAGGCGAGGGGGAGCAGAGTGTAGCTGTTGTTGGGGAGAGGAAAGGGATAAGTCCGGAGGAGGGAGGAGAGGGTGGGGTGGAAGAGGCGGGAGAGGAGTGGCTTGCAGAGAGGGATGAGGAGGAGATTGAGGAGGAGAGTGAGGAGGAGAGTGAGGAGGAGAGTGAGGAGGTGGCATCGAAGGTGGGGAGGAATGCGTGGGTGGTGGAGAGAAGGAGTGGCGGGCGGCAGCTGGTGGTGGCAGTGGAGAGAGGATGCGACTCGCTGCTGGGAGCAGAAGAACTTGTGGACAGACTGAATGCCCAGTGAGTGGATTGGGAGGCTCAATAGTGGGAGAGAGGGTTGAAGGTGCCTCGAGAATGGAGGTCGGCAGAGGGTAGTGGTGGTGAAGAGAGGCTGTGACTCCTTTTCTGGGCGCAAAAGAGCTTGTGGGTCGGCTGAATGCGCAGTGAGTGGATAGAGAGAATGCAGAGTGAGAGGATAGAGGGAATGCGCAGAGAATGGGTTTGGGATTGCCTTAAACATCTTAATGGTTTGTTTTGACATTCTGTGAAGGCTAAGTGCATAGAGCGTAGGAAGTGTAGATTGAAGGTTTGGTTTGGTGTACGTACGGTACATTATTTCCTAAATTCTCATTGTTGAGTGTTTTCTTCTTTTTTTAAATCAATTAAAGCTCTTCTTTATGCTTGAAAGTTTCTGCAGGGTGATTATGTGTGCATGTTTCTATTGACGGACTTGGGCCCTCATTTGATGGACATACCCAGGAGTCTTGAACATTTCCAACGTTTTTCTTTCTGCCGCCCCGAATGCTCGTTTCAGGCACTTTGGGGGTGTGTTCCCTTCTCATTAAGGCGCTGTACTGTGCTGAATTGTAGTCCATTACTTAGCAGACTTGCCTTTAGTCCATCCAAACCCTGACTTGCTTTGTCCAATCAGCGGCACCCAGATGATTGGTACGACTGGTATTCACAGGCCAAGCAAGTACAGTACCAGTATATGAGGCCTCAGCAGTCTCTACAGTCAATATTGTTGTTAGAATCACACTGCCATCCAGCTTCCTGTCAGGATCAATGTAGATAGATTATATTAAGTACCAAAAGGATAGATGCAACCTACGTACCAGTAATCTGATTAAACAAGCATGCATACTTCAACCAGCCATTCGCACACAGTTGATACTACCATCACTACTTGGTAAGGATAGGCGGCGTTTCATATTTCTGCCCGTTCTTGCACGTCTTGCCAACGGTACTAATGAACCAATAATGGAGTGCCGCGGAGTCCTTGGCAATCGTGAACTTGGCAGATCCCGAGGCCTTGGCTTCCGCAACCACAGTGTGCAACGCGGGATTGGTCGTGTCGTATGTACACTTGTCGAAATAATAAGGCGCCGCAGGGTCCGTTTCATCGGCCAGCATAACCAAGTTTGATTTTTTCTTCCATCTGAACACTGTAGCAATCAATTGAAATGAATCAGAACAGAGGTTTTGAAGTGTGTGTGTGTGTGTGTGTGAGAGAGAGAGAGAGAGAGAGAGAGAGAGAGAGAGAGAGAGAGAGAGAGAGAGAGAGAGAGAGAGAGAGAGAGAGAGAGAGAGAGAGAGAGAGAGAGAGAGAGAGAGAGAGAGAGAGAGAGAGAGAGAGAGAGAGAGCATGTGATAAGGACTCACCCAATGTGTCGCCTCTGAAGACTTTGTGAGGGCCCTTCCATTTCCTCACTCCCGGGCCCCACGGGTTCCACGCATTGCGTCCACCAACATAGATTTTTTTCGCCTGCCCGGTCGAGGAAGAAGGAAAAAAAACGTCAGCACACAACAAAGGGAGTGTTGGTCGCAGTAGTACCACAGAAACAAGGGGGAGAAGGTGAATGATTTGTATGAAAACATGGGGGGGGGGGGGGGGGGGGGGGGGGATATACGGGGAGGGGAGGGGGATACAGGGAGGCGAATGGGGGGAAACGTGGATTCGAGTGGGATACGGGAGGCGAGGGGGGTAATGGGGGGCGGGGGGGGGGGGGGGGGTGGGAAGGGAGGGGGAGGAGGGGGAGAGGAGGCAGAAGAGAGCGCTAACCTCTGCGAGCGAGAAGCCTGGTTCGCCGACACAGACACAGGCAGCGCCGAATCGGTTAGAGGCAGTGCCGAAAAACGCGAGCGCGGGAGCGAGAGGTGCGCGTGGCGCGGTCGATAGCGACGACGCCGCGGCCATGGCGGTAAAGACGCGGCGCGGAGAGAAAATGAGGACGATCGAAGAGACACGCCACAGTCGGAGAGAAACGCAACGACGATTGGGAAGATAGGAGGAATGGGAGGGACGGGGGGGAAGGGGAGGGAGAAGGGGAGAGAATGTTCATGAGTGGGAGCGGCAGCGCGGGAGAGTGGCGGTGGAGAAACTAACCGACGCGACACGCGACGACAATCAGAAAGATATGAGAATGACGGGGAGGGGAATGGACATGGGAGGGAGGAGGGTGGGGGGGGGGAGGGGGAGGGAAGGGGGTGAGGAGGAGTGTTCAGGAGTGAGAGCGGCAGCACGGGGGAGGGGTGCGCGTGACACGGTGGAGACGAGACGGCCATGGTGGTGCGGAGAGCAGCGAACCGACGCGACACGCGACGACGATCCGGAGGACATGAGAATGATGGGGAGGGGAATGGTTATGGGAGGGAGGAGGAGGAGGGCGGGGAGAGGGGGAGGAGGAGAGGGGAGGAGAAGGAGGGCGACAGAACAAGGGGGAGCACGACTAGGGCAGCAGAGCAGTGGCGTCAGAAAAGATCCGCATGACACAAGGGGACGAACATGGGGGAACGAATGAGGGGCGCAAAACAATGGGCGCAGAGCAATGGGGAAAGAACTAGGTGGGGTAAACAGGGGAAGAAGAACAATGACCGCATGACAGAAGGGGAGAACAAGGGGGGACGAGTGAGGGGCGCAGAACAATGGGGGAAGAACTAGGTGGAAGAAAACAACGGGGGACGAACAAGGGGGGAAATAACAATGGGCGCAGAATGGAGGAAGAGCAAGAGAGGACGAGGAAGAACAAGTGGGAAGAACATGGAGAGGAGAACGAGGGGGAGAACATGTAAAGAAGAACGCAAGGGGGAGAGCAAGGAGGATAGAACGTGCAGGGCAGAACGTGCTGGGCAGAACGTGCAGGGCAGAACGTGCAGGGCAGAACGAGGGCGCGCAACGAATGATCAGTGACAGCTGCTCCGAACACGTCACGTCACGTGTTCTTCGCTCACCGAGGTGACATTTGAGTCCACTCAAAAGTCGCGACGAGTGATTAGTGGCAGCTCCATCACATCACGTGCGTTTCGCTCATCGAAACGATAAAGTATACGCGTTTCACATACGACCTCGTTTCCAGCGATGCAAACAAAAACGCAAACGCATACACAAGCGCAAAGGCAGACGCAAACGCAAACGCAAATGCGGGGGATAACAGGGGGCGGAAACGGGAAGTAGGGTCGTTTTTATATTTTCTCAAGTGTCGCCTGACAATTGTTCTTACGCACTTGAGAGTAGAGCGAGAAGCGATATGCCTGCTAGAAACAGCACGAGCCGCGTAGACATTGTTGTAGGATGTCAAGCCACTGCCGTCGCGGCAATGTCGCGAATGAGCGGGAGGCAGGACTACACTAGAGATTGAAAGAAACAACGAACTTAAAACTAGAAACCAAACCCTAACGTTAGAAGCTGGCGTCGGGCGTTGTTGCAAGAAGCGTAAGATTGCCAACGAGTACTAACAAAATTTACTTTCACTCTGTATGCTTGACGCTACTCGTAGAACAAACTGATCGCTACCAATTACTGAAGCTCTGTAAAGCTTTGGTCTACCTAAGTGGGGGGAAGAGGAAAGGTGGGTGGAAATGGTGAGTTGGTGCTGGGCAGTTCAGGTTTCCTGGTTCGGTGAGGTGGGAGAGGGGTGTACGCTGTGGAAACAAACAAACCTCCGAGGGAGGGAGGGGTGCACCGTGCATTGCAGAAAGCGAGCCTGCTACACCGCGAATCGCGATCAGCTGAACGCACTCACCGCCACTACAAGTACAGTGCCACAGAACCGAACACCGCCACCAACCAGCTTTCACAGACGTGGTGCGACCACAGCATCAAACGCTTTCCACCTTGTAGGAGGGCTGTTTTTGAGAAGTGAACGAAAAGTTTATTCCCATAAGTTGCTTTATTACCTTTATTACCTCTAGAAATTAGGATTTATTTGAATGCTCAATTCCAGTTCCCCCGGCATCTCTTGGAGGTACCCTGCCCAGACACCCCAAAGTTCGGTGCACAGGCCAACCACCTGCTTCTCCGAACCAAACCTCGAGGTGAGGCAAACAACACAACAGCCGTGCCACGCTGGCAGCCAGGTTTTTCAGCAAAATTCCGTCCACGTGTACAGAGCCTGAAACCAGACATGCTAAACGTGCGGACATTATCTTTGATACTCAGATTTCGCCTGAGCGTGCTCTCAGGTGTAATCAGCCTGGAGTTTCTCAACGTTGATTGGTCATCGCGTTTTAGTCACATTTCTCACGCTGGTCGAACTCATTAGGAGGTGACAAAAACAAAACCATCCACTTTACCCTCCCGACCTGGATATATGTACGGAAATTAAGGTAGTAAGAGAATGAAGCCCATATAATTCACTTGGTAGTGCTCAGTAGCGCAACTGACCGCTAAACAACGCTTCCGAAAGCACTAGACGACGCTACCGAGACCTATTCGGCCATGGCAGAAAAAAATAAAAACCCTAGGGAACCTGGATGCATTTTCGAGAGGGGTCAGCCCTAAACACGGAACTGGGCGTTGTTTTTAGGGTTGATGCCTCCCGAGTCGCATCCTTTTCCGAGGTGGTTTTTTTTTTGTCAAGTGGGTTGCAATATTTTTTTCCAAAATATTTGGAGGCTTTCGGTGATTAGGGTTGATCCTTCCCGGAAAACATATAGGTTCGCTACGGGCATTATATTTATTTATTGCAAGTGCTAGACTTCCTCTTTTTGAGTGATTGTATACGAACATGACACAGAATAGATTCACACTATATCGAAAACTGTGTTTCTGTTGGTGATTACACCTGAGAACGCGCTCAGGCGAAATCTGAGTATCAAAGATAATGGCCGTTAAACGTGGGCTGTACATCAGGCTCGGAGGAGCCGGTTTTTTTACTGGATGGAATTAGCGACGCGACACTCTGGACACTGCTGTATTTTGTGCCACAGTCCAACTGCTCCGGCGTGCTTGCCTCGCCGCGCGCACGTTGCGGGATTGGTGGGTGGATTTTCGGTGGCGGTGTGGGCTGTGTGTCGGGAGCGCCTTTTTTTTCTCCGACGCATTCAGCTTTCGGATTTTAGCTAAGCGAAATCAATTTTGAACACGATTGTACACGTCTTCACCAACTTTCACTCCCTGCCCGCTCCGCCCCTGTCACTTTCTTACGCGGACCCCGAACACAGCTACAAATCAACTGATCAATCAACTGACCCCGCTAAAAGCTTTGCTGCTCCTGCCAACAACCAACCCCCTCCACCCCAAACCAAGTTCATGCTTCGACAAGCTTCACTTACAGAGCACAAGGAACACAGTTTTGCCTCGACCTCCTGCATTCCTTCCTTCATTTCGTTTTCGTGCCTCGCGCCATTTTACAGTATCCCGTTTGAGTGCCTCCCTCGCTCACTCCTCACCTCAGCATTGAACGGCCAATAGTCGAAAGCCCCTTGGTTGCGCGCTTCCAGCCATGGCCACGCGCCGCGTATCTCTGGGCTTACTAGCAACCTCTTGCGCCCTCCTGCTCTCAAGTGCGCGCCTCTCCTTGCCTCCTCGCTTTCTTACGTTCTGTTCTGTCTTTTAAACTCGCGG